GGCACTGGGAAATCTACGATTCTTAAGATTATCGCTGGACTTCTTGCACCAGACAAGGTGAGTAATGCTTATTGAGTCCGCTTTCATAGTTTTGGATGATTATGTTGCATGTTGATTTATTACTACTTAGTTCCTTACGTAAGGGATGCATAATTCTTATGTGCAGGGAGAGGTATATATTCGAGGTAAAAAAAGATCGGGTTTGATTGGTGATGATGAGATATCTGGTCTTCGTATTGGACTGGTAAAATTTTATTTAAGTTCTGAATACTATACTGGCAGGGCTTTGAGATAATTCATTGGTGGCACGACCGATTTCTTAGTTTACTTTTTTGGTTACAGGTTTTTCAGAGTGCAGCGCTTTTCGACTCTTTGACCGTTCGTGAAAATGTTGGTTTCCTTTTGTAAGAGACAGTATAAATTCTCACCTAAAAATGTTATACTCCTTCTCTTCTTAGATTTTAGGTGGTTATCTTGGATTCTAAATTCCATTTCTCCCGAATAAAGAAATTACTTGAGTTGGTTGACGACTTTGTGTTTATGCGTAGATATGAAAATTCAAGCATGTCGGATGAACAAATTTCACAGCTTGTGACGGAGACCTTGGCTGCTGTTGGTTTAAAGGTATGCTTGTCTTTTGACTTTCTCACCTGGCATACAATGTTAATTACTTGTCCCAGATTGGAATATTCTGGCTTGATTTGGGGTTAATATGTAACCAATAACTAAGGTCTTAGTAAGTGTCGCATCGGGCTGGCATGAATCAACATAATGAAGCATTGGAACTTGTTTTACATAGTTAATGCAGACCTCAGTTCTCAGAGACTATTTGGTTATCATGTAACAAGTGTATGCCTCTACTCTCATTACCTCCTTTTGCACATATTTAAGTTTCCTGGAGAGTAAAAAATACCAACGCATGTTCTCTTCAGGGAGTTGAAGAAAGGTTGCCTTCCGAGTTGTCCGGAGGAATGAAGAAAAGAGTTGCTTTAGCTCGTTCTATAATCTGTGACATAACCAAAGAATCAATCGAGCCAGAGGTATGGTAAATTTCGATTTGAATAATGGTGTGGAGCTTTTAATCCTGTGCATTTTTCTTTCTCTACAAAAGTTGTCATGTTTTATAGCAGCCTTGGTTTTATATCGTAACGTAAACATTCAATTGAGCAATCCAAACAAACCATACAAAAATGGGCTTCAACTGTTATCCAGCTGATCCTATTTTCTTTCATATATTAATTCCAAACTGCAGGAATTCTGAACATAACATTTAGTCTGCATTCCCACTCTAGTAAAATCAAACTTGGCTACCTCCTTTTATTCCAGTTTGCATTGAAAACTTCATTATTAATAATTCCATATTTTTTCATCCATGGTGATAATTTATAAAATAAGTTATCATTTGATTTGTCATTTATTCACTAGAGATTGCTGTATATATTTATCTTCCATTGTCCTTGTTAGGTTCTACTTTCTATTTGTTTTTTGTTGCATCTCAATGACAGGTGCTTTTATACGACGAACCAACAGCCGGGCTCGATCCTATTGCATCAACAGTTGTTGAAGATCTCATCCGCTCTGTCCATACAAAGGGCGAGGATGCACCTGGGAAAGAAGGAAAGATTGCATCTTATGTGGTTGTTACTCATCAACATAGTACCATCCGAAGAGCTGTTGACAGGTTTTCTCCGAGATATGATGTTTTAATTGGATTTTGCCATGATGTTGGATGGTCTACTCATTGAATCTCAACAGGTTATTGTTTCTTCACGAGGGGAAGGTTGTTTGGCACGGAATGACCGATGAATTTACGACATCCACGAATCCAATTGTTCGGCAGGTAACGGCTGAAACTAGTTGCCATGCATGAAATTGAAAGAGAAAACAGTTGGCATATGCTCATTGTGCTTGTGTTATTTCAGTTTGCATCTGGGAGTCTGGATGGTCCAATCAGATATTAGATGGAATATGTTCATTGAATTTCAGCTGCTAGTTAGGGAATCTGAGCAAAATGAAGTCAAATGCCAATTTTCAAATTTTGGCATTGTGTTTGCCTTTGATAGTTAAGTGCAGCAGCATTAGTTGATGTACATTACATTTGGACTTCTCATTTTCTGTCTAAACATGACTATTATTTATAGTTTTTTGTGTGTGTGTGTGAGTAAAATAACAAAACTATGAAGATTATATGCTGTCTGTCTTGAAAGAAATTATGATCCTATTTTGTACAAATTTCTGTTATATTGTATTAAAATTTGCACACAATACACTTATGCAATGTAGGTTGAATTCATTAATTTTCATTATCGTAAATTAATCAATTGCTTGACTAATCTAAACTGAATTTTATTCATTATCTTTGTTTATAAATGGTTAACTTTAGTGTATTTTTGTCTATTTATATTTAATATCTTCATTTTTAGATATTTATTTTATTTTGAATTTAATATTTGATGATTTTATATATTTTTATTATTTTTTATTATTTCATAAAAATAAACTTATGAGTTGTTTGTTTACTTCTGAATGATTAAGCGCTGAATGATTCAAATGCTGAATGATTCAGAGGTTCTGTATGAATTAGCTCTGAATGTGACATACGGTTTGATAATCGTTCTGAATCATTCAGAATGTACTTTTGTGCTAAATCATTCAACATGTTTTGATGAATCAGTTAGTACTGAATCATTTAGAGGTGCGAACAAATGCATTGAATGCTGAACGGTTTAACATTCAGCGTTGAATGATTCCATTAAGAGGTAAACATACAACCCCTTAATTTATTTTTTAATATTAATATTCTAACATTGTATATTATTATAAATTTAATTTTTATATAGTAAAAGATATATAATCCGGTGACACGATGTAAATATTTTAAATTTTATATTGAATTATTGGATAAGTAAAAATGGATGGTTAAAAGTAACATTAAAAATGAGAAGATTTTTACGATGGAAAAAGTGAAATATACTTAAATTTAAAAGCTTTGATCTCAATATAAAACTCATGTAATTTAATGATTTAAAAAACGATTTAACAAACATGTAAACTTAAGAAGTTATATATTGTACAAGTAAATCCTAATTTATAATAAAACAACATAAGATATTAAAATTTAGAAAGTAGATTGGATCGGGCCGAATTCAAGCTTTAAATGTTAGAAACCAAACCCGACATATATTTTAAATGATTTTAATTTTTTAAGTCTAAATTCATTTTTCGAGCATAAGAGTTTTCATCAAACCCTCCCTAATTGATTTTAAATAGTATTTTTATTCATCAAAATTATATTTTGGTTAAAAATGCTCCAAATCCTTGTATTTTTGTACATTTGAAATTTAGTCATCTTAATTTTATGCAAGGGTCACTTTTGGCCTTGTAGTAGACACAATTTATCATTTTCAAATCAATTTAGCTATTGAAGTTGCTCAATTTCATCATTCTATACCCTACTCACTTAAAACCTAAATTAAGGGTTTTAAGTTAGATATTAAGGTTTAGTATTTAGGATTTAAAGGTTAAAAGATTACAGTTTAGGGTTTAGGGTTTTAAGTTAGGGGTAAGTATAGAATGATGCAATTAAACAACTTTGAGGGCTAAATGGATGCAAAAATACGATAAGGATAAAAATGATAAATTGAGTCTACTACATAGGCATAAATGACCCTTAAGCATATTTTTATTTATAGAAATTTGCTTCTTCTTTTAGATTTAAAAATCAAACTCAAACTATTAACACTGCTAAAATTGTTTTGTTGAATTCAATTATAGACATTTTGAAATAGAAATTTTTGTAATTATTTAATTAATTAGAAAAATGTGAACCTGGATTTATAGATAGACATTAACAATTGAAGTTGAACTTCTAAATCGGAAAGCTAGATAAATTGAATTTTTAAAAATAAAAGTAGGAGGCCTAAATTTCAAGGAGTCTTTGTACTTAAAGTATATTTCAACCTTGTACTTTTTATATAATGGTCAAACTATGCTTATGATATTACAATTTTTTTTAATATATTTAGGCAAATTAATGATAAAACAAATTCGAATTTAATTAATTTAATAATCGATCAAATTGTCAAAATATTTTTTATTAACATAAAATTAGTATAATTCCACTCTATTAATAATAAAAATTATTAATTATTTAACCATAATTTTAGGAGAACTGTACAAATGAAAATAGAATTACTATAAACAATTTGGGGTTTCTTCCGATTTCAACAAATAATTTAGTTTCATGTAAAAAAAATAGACCCTTTAATTTTAATAATAATAAATTCTAAGTAAAGTACACCAATATTCATTGATTTATTGTCTATTTTTTAATATAATATCATTTATTTTATTTTGGTCACTATAATTAAAATTTAACAATGATATTGATATTAACATGACATTTTTAATATTATTTTGAATTTCTACATTATACTTTTTCTTCTCACCAACAAGCAATATATTATTTCTTAATATTTTTAACAAAATAATGACTCATGATAAATTAAAAAAAAACCACATCAAAATTACTGTTAATTTTTTGATAATCGTGACTAAAATAAAAAAAATACTTTGGTGACATTTTTACCAGGAAAAAATCAGTGGCTAAAAAAAGAAGAGACAATAGATTGGTGATTATCATTGCAATTTACTCTAAAGTTTAAAATTTCTAAAAACCGAAATATGAAAGCGTGGGAAACGGACAGAGATTTTTCCACCATTAATTTCACTTAACCGTGTTCTTCGGCTTCCTTGTTCTTCTCAAAGTATTTTAATTGTTACTTATTATATAAATAGATATAATTTTTTTAAGAAAAACCCGAAACAATTTTACTTTCAAGCATTCAACCCAAACTCTGTTTTTTTTCCTTTTTATAATTCGAATTAAATTATATAATTGTCTCTGGAACATCCTTTCATGTTTTGATTTAAAAAAAAATCTCCTGGAAAACGTTTTGGTTCAAAGAAAGGACACCCCATTTTTAAGCTTAAAGCCAGAAACAGAAATTTGTTCTTTCATGTGTTATAAAAAAATAATACATTTTGTAAGTTGTTTTAATAATAAAAGTTGAGAATAGTTGATTTTCGGTTTTTTCTTCTTCTGCAGAATCTTATTTGTTTATGCTTAGAAATCATGAATTTGGGTGTTAGAACAATCATGTTTTACGTTGAGGAAATACTTGCATGTTTTTAATTTACTCAAGATTCAATATGCATGATTGGAGTGAATAAAATCCGAAATATGATGATTGGATTATTACAATATTAAGTGTGAAAAATTGCAAATGAATTTGTGGATCCCTGCTTTCTATATGTTGTGAAAAATGGGTTGCTTTCTTTTCTCTATACTTGTTGATCACTAATGTGTACTATGCATGCCATAATTTGAGAACACTGGTGCCTCTAATTCTTCAGTCATTATAGTTTTGGTTACTAATTTTGTAGATGGTTATATATTTGCTTCATTGTATTTGACAGATACCTCTTGTCGCTGAACGAAAAGTTTGGAACTCCTGTCTTTGTATCCTTGTTCCAGTTACTGCTTTGCTTTCTACGATTTACCTCTTAGGGAGTTTATATGTAGAACCAGAAGCTAGGGAGGTATGTTTGCCATTTTTGGTCCCATATAACACGACTCTAATTGTGCTATTTAACTTTCTATTTGTGATGTGGTGGGTCTATTGGTACGAGAACGACTATTGCTTTTGTCGTCAGCATATAGTTGAAGATGCTGTCGATTTGCTTTGTAAATTTTTTTTCCATGGGTTTAAGTTTGAAATTTCTAGGCTGCTTTTATCTCCAATTAACCTAAAAGCTTGACCATGAGTTTTCCTTTGGGAAGGTGATGCATAAATCGAATAGAGAGTGCTATATTGGTTGGATATCCGGAATGACAGTTGTTCCCTTTGTGCAGAGAGCATTTACATGGAGAGTGGCTGATGTTTTGAAAAGCTCAAATGTTCAAAATTGTCAGGTATGTTCAGGATTCTTTAAGTTTAAAGGTTTCACTTAATCATCCTTATTTATGGAAATGTTTTTCAGACAAACAAGATTCCGATTATTCTTCTTTTTCATATTTTTAGAACCAATGCAGGCCTCCCGGAAGTGAGTCATTACCTGAAGGTATCATTGAAAATACGTCTAACTTGCAAATGAGACCTTTATGGGGCTTTCCAGAGGTAATGCTTTAATCAAATATGAGTGAGCATATAATCTTGTGAACATGTTTCTCACTTGAATTCCAGAATTAGAATTTATGGAGCATGCCTTTTCCCATAAAGTTTGAAATAACTCTATGGAGAAAACTGCACTTTATGAAAACCTTTGGGTGAGTAAAGTGCTTGTTTAATTAGACTTTGTCTAGTTTTATTAGTAAAAATGGTATTGCGCCATTGAAGCACATTCATGTCTCTGGATGTTCTTGAATTGTTGATGGTTATGATTGGCTGATTTATTATCTAGATTTAACTTAGAAAGATATAGGCTTTTTTTAGATTATTGATTTCTTAACGATTCTTTGTGCACTTTGAGTTTTGGCAATTGTCTATTTCTGCAAAGGAAATATTTTAATTCACTGGGATTTCAAAACCATGTTGCTTTATTTTTCTTGAAGTACCGCTGTCCAATGTATATTTGATTATAGTGTTCAAGGGCCCTCTAAATACATGGAAATCTTGAAAAAAAATCTATTGTTGGACATTCTTACCCGAGTCTAATTAATATAGCTTCAGAATACTGTCACAAGTTAGGATTAGTAACCTAAAGCAATCAAACAGAAATTGAAGGTCAAAAGAAATAGAGCAGTGGTTGCTGACTATGGTACTCAGACTCGGGTATGAGAGTTGATACGGAAACATGTCCAACACGAATATTTTTTATTTTTTTAATATTTTTCATGCATTTGGAGGATCATTGGAAAACCACATCCCCACATCATGTCCAAATATGCATTTGACACAAATGTCAGATGCGGTACTTAGGAAATTGAAGAGTCTGAGTAACATAATCAGTTGCTGCTAGAAGTGGTTTTATAATTTGACTGAATCTTCAAACATGTGTATGTTTGTTATTGCAGTATAATGTACTAGAGAAATTAAAGGGAAAAAAACTGTTGCATCAACAGCTAGATTTAACTGCAGTTGATTGAAAACCAACAATCGGTGCATGTCATTTAACATGATATAAGACTTTCATGAAAAGTTATCGTGCTGTTAATTCCTCTAAGGGCAATTCATTTGGCCAATGTGACATTGACTCGTGACCTTACTAACTTTAATATTGTACTGTGTTATGGTGATGTGCATACTATTTGAACAGAAGGAAAATACTTCCACCAGCTTACTTGCAGTTGCTGTTGGAATAAAGCAAAAAGATCTAGTAGACACATTGGTCAAGACGGTAGATTAAAATTCTTTTGATCTTTAGAGTATATTGTTTGCTTGTATTTATTTTTGAGTTTGATTTCTCATTGTTTTATTTTGTACAGTTTCTATCTAGTGGTTTCGTAGTCATGCTTTTCCACTATGATGGTATTGTTGATGAATGGAAGCATTTTGAATGGTGTGATAAAGTCATACATGTTTCTGCACGCAATCAAACTAAATGGTAGAAATCTTTCCAATCCCTTAAAAAAATTACTATATGAGAAGTAACATTATTCTAAATCTCTCCTGGATTTTGTTTCTTGGTGACTAGGTGGTTTGCAAAGCGTTTCTTACACCCCGATATTGTTTCAGAATATAGTTACATTTTCCTCTGGGATGAGGACCTTGGAGTTGAACATTTTCACCCTAAAGAGTACGTTGAATGCAATTATCTGTATTAAAACATAGATACCATGTTAGAAACTTGCTACTCATTTTTTTACTTGGAAAAATGAAATCTTATCATAATTCAAGTAGAAAATTTTGATAATAAATGTATGATGCATGATAAATTTATGAAAGATGCAGTTAAATAACTCAAGGTTCTCAGACGTGCAGAAACGTGGAAATTTATGATGGCTTTTGTTGAATAATTCCTCTATTAGTAGTGTAGTAGTGATAGTCATAGACTACTCTTAGTTATACCATGCCTATTGTTTTTTTATTCAATCTTTAGTTATACCATATCAAAAGAATTGAGAATGACTGTGGAGCCTGATAGAGATGATTTGAATAAGCTGGTGATTTTTACCTGCAGTTGAAATTGCTTGAAGTTTGTGTTTGGATGTTCAGTCTTTGCTCTTCTAGTTGGAGTCTCAAAGTACAGCTTTATTGTGCGTAGAAGAGAGTGTGATAGTTACCAACATGTTTTCGGAGTTGTTTGTTTCCTTTCCTAGTTCTGCTAAAATTTTCTGTTTTGTTTATTCAAAAGAGCGAAGAAAGTTTTATCTCTCACATAGGTGCATCTTATATAATTTCTACTAATAATCTATTTTCTAGACACTCAACTTAATTTGATAACTCAGATATGTGTCAATTATTGAGCATGAAGGGCTTGAGATATCACAGCCTGCACTTGATCGTTATAAATCAGAGTTACATCACCAGATTACTGCACGTGAAAGGAAGTCAATAGTGCACAGGTTCTTGCAGTCATTTGTTTCTTGATATCTCTTCTGAAAGCTACTTGTGCTATACATTGCATATTCTGAATACATTGCTTTGTAAACCATGCACAAATTTGTTTAATACCTAGTTTATGAAATTTGTTACTTAATTTGCTTCATTGTGTATGGTTTCTCGTTGTAGGAGAACTTTCAAACAACAAGCTAAGGGGAAGTATTGTGATAGTCATAGTAAAGACCCTCCATGCACAGGGTAAAATATCAGTGAAATTACTAAATGTTTTCCATTGGTTCTTAAAAATATTAATTATTTTTCGTAAAATAATAATGTTATGAAACTGTCATTGTAATTCTTTTATTGTGAGAGGATATCTTTTCTACTGAGATCCGCAAAAGAACCTATGCCGACGACAGCTCTTTTTGTGCAACTGGATGAAATTAATTAGTTAGAAACCTCTGCTAGATGTTGGTTTTGATTAACAAATTTAAGAACAAAAGAATGTTACAGGTGGATAGAAATGATGGCCCCTGTTTTCTCGAGACCTGCCTGGCGTTGTGTATGGTACATGATTCAGGTTTGCCTTTTACACTTCGGAATTTTTACTTTCCTTACTTTTTGTCTGGGTAATCTGTGAGTTTCCTATGTTGTACCGTATTTTTTTAAAAATCTTTGGTGCTCAAGTTCTGCATGCACCACTGAATATCCCTTGGTCATGTTATTTAAAGGTTTATAAAGTTGCCATGAACATCTTTTTTTTAGTTTTTTATGTCACATCATTGGCTGGTCGTTACGTTCTTTTATTTATTTGTCTATTTTTCAGAATGACTTGATCCATGCCTGGGGCCTTGATATGCAAGTTGGTTATTGCGCACAGGCAAGCTGCTTCGAGTGCGTTTCTGTCTTATTTTGCTTAGCTGAAAGAGTGTTGCTTAACCTGTTTTTAAATAGGGTGATCGAACCAGCAATATTGGTATTGTGGATTCTGAGTATGTAGTCCACCATAATCGTCCTTCCCTAGGGGGCGTCGATGCGAAAAATCACTCTAATGCTGAAGGCCGACGGCCGGACAAGGTTAGAAATCTAAAGTCTATATCAACAAGATGATAAAAGAGTGTTGCTTAACCTGCTTTTAAATAGGGTAACCGAATCAAAGGTATTGTTGTGAATGCTGCGTACATACTCCGCCATTATCCTATGCTAGCAGACTCAGTCGAAAAAAATCACTCTACTTTTAAAGGCGGACACCAAAAGAAGGTTAGAAATTTAATATATATGTCGATAAAATGTTAATGGTACGTTATTTTATGTTATCTTGGCTAACTATATGGTCTGTTTTTATATTGCAGAAATCTCATCATTCACATTCCAAAGAACCTAGAGTAGAAGTAAGTATCTGGGTTTCTTGCTTTGTGTTGCCTTAGCTAGAAAAACTTACCTTTCTTCCGAACTTTATCCCTTCGATTCGTAATTGTAACTTAGATTCATCATCGTATTCTAAATCGAGAACCGTCTAGTGTTTATAATTCATGCTCTACCTATATAAGTCTTATCATGTAATCTGGGGTGTGACAGGATGGAGATTTAGTTGAAGAACTTATTTGACCCCTTGTTGATTATATGCCATAAATAGAATTTGAAAAGTTTAAACACTACAAAATGACATAGAACTTAAACATCTAGGAAACATGTTTCTTTCCTAACTTGCCAGTCATTTAGTGTCCGAATACACTGGTTATACTTATCGGAGTATGAACTCGATCTGTATAGATAAGGAGGCAGTCGTTTGTTGAGTTGTATCTTTTCAGACGACGATGGGAAAATGCTGTCGAGAACGATAAGTGCTGGGTTGATCCGTATCACTAGCAAATGAACGTCACCTACATCTCCGGTTTCGTTCGACTATGGTAAAGCTGCGTAAGATATTATACACCATTGTGCATAATAGTCATAAATGTTGCTGTATAGAAGAGATTGAGCAGGTACTTGAGCCGAGCTCCGTTACTGCTCCAGTTCATTTGTTTAAGTCTCGGATTACATCATTTGATTATTTAGTGCAATAGAGAACATATAATAGGAGCCTTCTTAACCTTATGCCTACTAAATATTCTTTTAAGGATATTTGTGTCCCCTCTTAAAATAGGATGCATGAATAAAGTTGTAAATGAATCGGATTTGAATCAATATTTTTTATTTATAACTAATTATTATATTTTCTTATAATTTATTATTATCTTAACTAAAAAAAAGTGTCCAAATTATATCTCTTGTTGATTTTAGGTGTCTATAGTTTTTTTTTGTCGAAGCAAGTGTCTAATGTTTTCAAATTATTGTTTAAGGTTAATTCTGTCACTACTATTAAAAAAATCTTGTTAAAAATAATTAACTAATTTGTATTTGATATGTGATCTAATTTTTAATTTCTTTTTTTTAAATAAATATTTTTAATAAAATTCTAAATTTTTATATAAAACACAAAATCCATAAAACATTAATTCTCTACTTAAATTTGGAGATTTAGAGGATTTGAACGACAACAAAGGATGACCGACAATAGGGTTCGACCAAGTGTGGGTAGGCGTTCAATGATGGCGGTGATGACAATAATGGGATTTGAGATTAAGGATTTGAGTATGGATATTTAATGATTTAAGGTTTATGGAGATTTAATGATTTAAAGTTTATGAAAATTTAGGGATTTTAGTTTAGGGATTTAGGGGATTGGGCCGACAATAAGAGAATGATAGACAGTGAAAGTTCATTGATGGTTGAGTGGGCATTTGGTAACATCATTGATGGCTAGTGATGTTAATAGACTTTGTGATTATGGATGATTTATATGAAATTTAGGAATTTAGAGAGATTTAAAGATTTAGGGTGTGTTTGTTTGCCGTAATTGGAATTACGGAATTGGTTTCTTCAAATTCTCGTGTTTGTTTCACGTAATTCGTTTATCAGAAAATATTTTCCCGTATTTGTTTTACGTAATTGGTTTTCCGGAATGTAATTCATTTTCCTAGTAACAGAATTTCCTTTGTGTTTTCTGTAAAATGACTTACGGATTTATTTTCCGTAAGTCATTTTCCGAAATTTTCACTTCAAAGAATAAATACTCAAAATAATTTTATTTTATGAATTTAATATTAATAAAATATTTTAATATCATTTTCATCAAAATATTATTTATTTATTAAATATTTATAATAAATAATATATATGTTAATTATATAAATAATCAATTATATATATATAAGATATTATATTTTTATTTTAATAATATATAATAAAAAATTATATTTAATAATGAATTATTTATATATTTAAATAATATTTTAATAAAGATATTTAAAATATACTAATATTTTTAAAATATAATGTAACACTATTATTTTAATAAATAATAAATATAATTTATAATATTTTATTTCACTAAAATATAAAAATATTATTATTTTTATTAATAAAATTATAAAAATAATATTTAATAATAAATAAATTATTTTAATATTTTAAAATAATAATATTAAGTTTTATGATAAATAATATTATTTATTATATTTAATATTTGTAATAAATAATTTTAAAAAAACTCTTCAACTAGTAGAAAAAAAGATTTAAATAACATCTTCCAAACATCATAAAACGTTTTCCAGATATTTTTCAGAAAAATATAATTTATTTTACGAAAATATTTTTCAGAAAACGTTTTCGAGAAATGTAATTCATTTTTCAGAATTCAAATTCCAATAATTCATTTTTCAATTCCAGTAATTCATTTTCCGAAAACCCAATTACAGTCAAACAAACAGACCCTTAAATGTAAGAATTTAGGGAATTGGGACGACATCAAAGAAATAGTCAACAATGATCGTCCGACAACGGATGAGTGAATGTTCGATAGCAGTCAACACTAGCAATGCGCTTTAGGATAAGTGATTTTAGTTTTTTTTTTTAAATTTAGGTTTTTCTAAGATTTAAAAAAAAGGTTTTTTTTTAAATTATAATTTTTAAATTTTATAAGATAAACTTTTTAAAATTTATAAATACGACATGCGTCAAGTTTGATGGTTATTTTTATATACCTTAATAGAATTGACCTTAAAATGTTAACTTTGAAAATATTAAGCATCTGCTTTAATTGAAAACAACGTTAAATGCTTAAAAATTAAAAAAAAAATTATTTTTTAATTAAACCTATATTATATTATAAAAACAAACCATATCACATCTTATTCACCATCACAGGTGTTTTAATGATGGTTATAAATATAAAGGCACAAGTATTTAATGTATTTAATTACTCATCACAACAACGGTACGTGTGAAACATGTTCATCACCTTGGAACACTCGGGGCAAACCATGATACCAGGGACCCGACCATGAACCGGCAAATGAACTTTGATGCAGCCATGTACATCACTCGATTTCTGGTAGTTCGACATTCGGTCGTCACCATTGTGTCGGGTCCCATCGAGAAAATGGCCCACGGTTCACCTTTTCCTCCGTGGCCTACCACTTTCAGAGCTTCCTGAATCATTGTCTGTTTTGTAATTGGTGGCTGTCTTCCCGTGTCGGATTTTGGAGTACAATATGCTCTTGAGTCGGGTCCAGAACCGCCATCGGAACTCGGATTCAATGAGGTTGATGTCCCGACTGAGGTCGTTCTTGGATAGCCCCAACTTGGCTTTGCTCTTTCCCACGTAAACTAGTTTTAAAGAAACGCCGGCGGCGTACGCGGCATACTTGACTTTCTCGGTGAATTCTTGAATCCACGAGGCATCCCACCTCCGAACAAGCAAACAAATGACGTTCGATTCTCTACCTGATGAATCAATTGTGTCCGATGATAAAAGAATCCAATTATTATATTCGAATTCGAAAGATTCATATAATATAATGTACGTACGTACCAATGAACGTATGTTGGGAACGATGACTTCATCAAGCAGCAAATCAAGCTTCCAACCACTTCGTTCGTCAATGGAATTCCATAGAATTTGCTCAGTTTTATCACTAAAAGGGAAAGCCATGTTACCCCACACCCACAACATAGGCCGGAGTCACCGACACTGCGATCGCCTGCCTTATGAAATTCCACTCTCTTAACAGACTCGACCACGTCGGCTTCGATTCGCCAAGTCGATGATGGGGAGCCAGACAATCTCGTACATTCGATTGCTTCTCTGGTACAACCAGTTAAGCACCTAGATCTCTTCGACGGAGACGTCGAGGACCGATATGAGGAACAAAACATGCTTGTTCCTCAGATTTTGGTTCACCTGAATCCTTACATAATGCATGATTTTATCGACGAGTTCAAAAATGCTGATTCTAGGAATAAGCATTTTTTTAAATTTCTAAAACAAAACGGATTATTAATATTAATGTATTATTTTAAAGGGTAAACTATATATGAAGGATATTATTATATTTATAACCATTATTTATTTATTTATTTATAATAATTACACAAAAGACTTACCAGCATCCGTTTGGCAAAGTAGTAGCTTCTCTTGAAGGATATTATTTATGAGGGTAACTTCTTTAGCCAACTCAATTAATTCTTGGATCGTGGATTCCAAACTGTCCCTGAAAATCAGACATAAAGGGTTATCTTCTTCATAAATGGAATTTAAATTGTTGAGTTTCTGTCTTACTTTTTCTTGTTTAAAATGGTTGTGATTCTCAAAACAATGGCAAGGATCTAGTAGGCAGCTATGGGAGAAGAAGCGATGGCATCTTTGATGGAGTGAACCTCTTTTGGAATACGAGCAATGGAAGGTGTGTCAAGAAGGCCATATTTGTGTTGACGACATCGATCATGGCCTTGAAAAGCCCGATGCGTTCCAGCACCGATAAATCTATGGTGTTGTAATGGTGGCCCTTGAGGGTTTCAACGTACTTTACGATGGGGTCGGTGTTGCGGTGCTTCATGAGCATCAACAACTCGCCGAAGCTGCAGGCGAAAGCCGCCATTGCCAGCACCACTTTGGCGTTCCATGCGTAGTCTCTCAGCCTCCGGAGCAGATGCATTGTGGTTTCTTCCACACCACTTGCTCCTGATGGACAGCATGACATCTGCAGTATTTTTGTTTTGTTGCAGTCACAATAACCAAAGTTTTCATGATTGAGGAAAACAAGTAAGAATGTACCTCACAGGAGATACTTCGGATATCTTCCAATGCCTGACGCATGCATGCCACTCACATTCTCCAGCCTGTTGATCATTTCGTTTAACTCTGCATATTGATCCCCACCCTACACCAAATATATTTATATAAATCATTCATTTAATCATGTATATATATATGGATAGTAACAAATATATTTCGTCGGTAGTTAACAATTCACTCTTTTTTATTTGAACGGAGAATGGTGGTCAATGGAGATTCGACTATAAGTCTAAGATTTTTTTATAGGAGAGAAGGAATGGAGATAGAAGATAAACAAAGTAGGCGATAGAGTTGAAAAAGAGAGTTACCTATCAAATTTATCTAATGGACTTTTATGCTGACCTTTTGACGGTTAGCGTCAGGTCTAAAATCATCAATGTCTGTTAATTGGCTGATAGACTATACAGATATGACTTTTGACTATACAGATTTGGTTTTGTCAAAGGTTACCTTAAAGCTCGACGATTATGGACTTTTGAGAGAGATCCAGACGGGAAATGGTTCCGGAGATGTTGTTGTGTCTCTGCAGAACTTCTGGAGAGGGTGATGTCTTTTGAAGGTTTTTATTGACGGTGACTTGATAGTTTTCGGAGAATCTTTTTCGAAAGCATAACAAAATATATGTATGTATATATAGAAAGATAAAGAGATAATACCTTGGAAGCAGTGGCGGAGGCGTTTTGGAAGACGCTGGTAATGAGGTTAACAAGGTGTTGAAGATCAACTTGATAAGGTTGGAAGGAAGTATGGGAACTCAGTATCTGCTCCAACACTCCCTGTGGTACCCATAGCACCTGACTTCCAATGCCAATGGAGGATGCTTCCATTTTT